GGGGCGGGGCCAAGGGGGGCGGGGCGGGGCAAGCCTGATGCCTGTTTTCCATGTAAATAGCAGCCTGGGGTAAGGAGGGGCAATAAAAAAGAATCCCAGGGCATTGCCGGGGGCTGTTTGAAGCCCGAGGGCCGGTCCGCTGCCAGCTCAGGAGGGTGGTGGTGTAAATTCACCAACAGAACGGTAATGCCCTCCCCACCCCCCCAAGTGCACGTGTTTGAATTACAAACGCGGGGTGGGGGGGGGGGGACGGTCTAAAATGAAAATTCCTGGTAAATCCTTAGCGTGGAGCGCAAGGTAAGCCCAGGAGCGTTTTCTGTAATGTTTTATTTTGTGATGTCAATGCGAAGGATTCGCAGTGTGACAGTACTGAGCTTAGGTTTCACATGACAGCATGGATGCTTCAAAATTACCAGGAGCGCCAAGAGGTTTGGCTGCTGTATTAGAAGGTGGCAAGTGGGAAGTGTGGTCTTGTGAGACAATCCAACCAGCGAATGTGCAAGAGGCTGTGTCCATGTCTGCAGACAGCTGAGAAGGCACACACAGAGCGGAGGGACTTTGGAAATGGGGAAATCCCACCGTCACCTCTCCGGGCTGAACATGGGCGCAGACAAACTCTAAATTTACCATCCCAGGCTATGGATCGACAAACCTTTTCAGAGATAACCCTAATGACTTCCCCATACCTGGGGTAAGGAACGTGCCCAATAATGTGGTTGGTTATCCCCTTTGCTTACAAAAGAGACGAGCAGTGCGTAATGACCCACATCCTGCAGGACTTGCTTTCCCCAAACTGCCACATTCTACAGCACAGGTGAGTTGCCCTAATGGTGCCAAAAAAAACCTTGACCCAAAATAATACAGAGCTAAAGAGGAAAGACTTTCCATTACATTGAGATCTTTTTTCAAACAGTGTTCAGGTCACTTTCTGCCGACACAGTGGTACGGACGGGTAAGTGCCTTTGCCTGCCGAGTGCTCTCTTTGCTACCTGTCAGTAATTTGGTTCAGAGACGTCTGTGATCGTGGTCCCATAGATTTTGGTCTCCCAGTCTGAGAGCTGTTTCACAAAGCCCCGGTGTGGTCTCATGTTCGTTTTGCATTTCAGAACATAGTCCCAAGCTCTCTGTAAACAGAGGGAAAACAAAGAAGTGTTGGGAATTTGTACTGGCAGTGAATCTCGGGTACGTACATGAACCAGCTACACTTGTAGACGACACAGCTTTGCATTTACTCCCTGTGTTGGACAGCAAGAACCTGCAGATAAGACTTTGGCTACCAGAGCAGGGACAGAGTGGATCCAGATGTGAACTTCAGAGAGGACTGTCACC